ACACAACCCAGGAGGCCATGGTGTCCTGCATGCGTGTGACTTTAGAGTGTGAGCAGTCCCCACAACAGGGTGCCAGGGCTCATAACTTCCAAGGTGACACAACACAGGGGCCACTAAGAAGGGGATCTTGTTCAATTCATGGGATGCCTCTGCAACACGATGAATACAGTGGGAGAGGCAGTGTGCACAAGGAAGTCCCTGTGCCTTGAGGGTTCAGAGGTAGCAGAGAGGCCACTTCCCTCCTAAGCATGTCGGACAGCCTCTCTCCTCAGTCTCCCTCCTGTTCATTCCCCTTGCAGCACTGGCTTTGCTTCTTTGACTTGAACCTTGGAAACAAGTACCTCCCTCGACGCTTTTGCACTGGCCATTCCCTTTGCTGGGCACACACTTCGCCCATATTCCTTCATCTACCCCTCTGTCTTACATGAGGTCTGTGTTCCAGTGTGACCTTGTTTGCAGAATGGCCTACATACCCATGAAAATAGCATGCCCTATTCACTCTCTGCTTTATCCCTGCTTTCCTTTTCTTCATACCACCTGCCACCGCTTGAAATATTATTTAAATTTCTTATTTGTTCATGTATTCTTTCTCCATCATTGAATGATAGGGACTTTTGTTCTTTACCACCCCATACTCCTTGCCTACACAATGCCTAAAATGTAGACAGCACTTAATTTGTTTTTCAAAAGCTTACAATAATTTTTAAATTAAAATTATAGAATACATGGCCTTCGGAAAAAAAGCGATTGGAACAAAAATTCCAAAACTATGGGGGTATAGAAGTTCCCCTAAAGTGGACCATATGTAAGCACAACATATTAAAGTGAATTTCTAGAACATAAAATTTAAAAAGTAGCATTTAAAAACTGAGCATAATACCAGATCGTGTGAAAATTAGTCATGCTATTTGCTTCTGTCCTTGAAGTCACCTCCACCACATGGAACCAGGAAATGAAACACAAATTTCAAAGTTTCACCTTCTAGGACTATCAGAGGACCCAGAACTGCAGCCCCTCGTATTTGGGCTTTTCCTCTGCATGTACCTAATCACTGTGCTGGGGAACCTGCTCATCATCCTGGCCGTCAGCTCAGACTCTCACCTCCACACCCCCATGTACTTCCTTCTCGCCAACCTGTCCTCTGTAGACATCTGCTTCACCTCCACCACCATCCCCAAGATGCTATGGAACATCCAGACTCAGAGCAATGTCATAAGCTACGCAGGCTGCATCACACAGATTTATTTTATCATACTCTTTGCTGGATCAGAAATCTTTCTCCTGAGTGTGATGGCCTATGACCGGTTTGTGGCTATCTGCCACCCCCTGCACTACACAGTCATCATGAACCCCCAGCTCTGTGGACTGCTGGTTCTGGTGTCCTGGATCATGTCTATCCTGAATTCCTTGTTACATAGTTTAATGATGTTGCGGTTGTCCTTCTGTACACACTTCCAAGTCTCCCACCTCTTTTGTGAACTCATTCAGATGATCCAACTTGCCTGTTCTGACACCTTTCTTAATAACTTGGTGATGTATTTTGCACTTGTCCTGTTGTGTGGTGGTCCTTTTGCTGGGATCCTTTATTCTTATTCTAAGATTCTTTCTGCCATATTTAGAATATCATCAGCTCAAGGCAAGTATAAAGCATTTTCCACCTGTGCATCTCACCTCTCCGTTGTCTCCTTGTTTTATTGTACATTGCTTGGTGTGTACCTTAGCGCTGCTGCTCCCCAGATCCCCCAGTCAGGTACAGTGGTCTCTGTGATGTACACGGTGGTCACGCCCATGCTGAACCCCTTCATCTATACCCTGAGGAACAAAGACATAAAGAGGGCTCTGAAGGGAATCATTGGGGTTCCAGTGATGTAAGGGGCAGTCGTTCTGGGGCTGAAGAAGTGCCCATGATTGCAGGGCTCAGAGTCTGAGAGCCAGGAACTGCCATTCTTTGATCAGACTGTGGAGGTAGAAACATCTCCTTCTATATATTTCCTGGAATTTCCATTTGTTTGAATTCAACTTCTCCATACATTTAAAATAACTCATTTTATTAACCTTCTACTCTATCTGATATACAGACAGTTTTCCCCTTTGTCCATAATATACTTTTAAAAGTTTTTTCCAACCTTGATAAAAATATTTGGAAATTCTCATTTATTTCACGGGGTACCATGGATTTCTTTCTTTTTTTAAATTTTTTAATGTTACGTTAGTCAGCATACAATACATCATTAGTTTTTGATGTGGTGATCCACGATCCACTGTTTTCCTATAACACCCAGTGCCCCATGCAGTACGTGCCCTCCCTAATACCCATCACTGGGCTAACCAAACCCCCCTCAAACCTCCCCTCTAAAACCCTGTTTGTTTCCCAGAGTCCATAGTCTCTCATGGTTCATCTCTCCCTCCGATTTCCTCCACTTCATTTTTCCCTTCCTTCTCCTAATGTCCTTCATGCTGTTCCTTATGTTCCACAAATAAGTGAAACCATATGATAATTGACTTTCTTTGCTTGACTTATTTCACTTAGCATAATCTCCTCCAGTCCCATCCATGTTGATGTAAAAGTTGGTTATTCATCCTTTCTGATGGCTGAGTCATATTCCCTTGTATATATGGACCACATCTTCTGTATGCATTCATCTGTTGAAGGGCATCTGGGTTCTTTCCACAGTTTGGCTATTGTGGACATTGTTGCTATGAACGTTGGGGTGCATATGGCCCTTCTTTTCACTACATCTGTATCTTTGGGGTAAATACCCCAAAGACTGTCTTTTTTCCATTGCATATTTTTTCCTGCTTTGTTGAAGATTATTTGACCATAGAGTTGAGGGTCCATATCTGGGTTCTCTATTCTGTTCCACTGGTCTATGTGTTTGTTTTTGTGCTAGTACCATGCTGTCTTGGTGATCACTGCTTTGTAAAATAGCTTGAAATCAGGCAATGTGTTGCCCTTAGCTTCGTTTTTCTTTTTCAACATTTCCTTGGCGATTCGGGGTCTTTTATGATCCCATACAAATTTTAGGATTGTTTGTTCCAGCACTTTGAAAAATGTCATTGGAATTTTGATCAGGATGGCATTGAAGGTATAGATTGCTCTGGGTAACACAGACATTTTAGCAATGTTTATACTTCCAATCCATGAGCGTGGAATGTTTTTTTCCATCTTTTTGTGTCTTCTTCAATTTTTTCATGAGTGTTCTGTAGTTCCTAGAGTATAGATCCTTTACCTCTTTGGTTAGGTTTATTCTGAGGTATATTATGGTTTTTGGTGCTATTGTAAATGGAATACAGCATCCTTTCCTGATTAAAATTCTTCAGAGTATAAGGATAGAGGGAACATTCCTCAAGTTCATAAAATCCATCTATGAAAAACCCACAGTGAATATCATCCTCAGTGGGGAAAAGCTGAGAGCCTGTCCCTTAAGATCAAGAACACGTCAAGGATGCCCACTCTCGCCACTATTGTTCAACATAGTACTAGGAGTCCTAGCAACAGCAATCAGACAACAAAAAGAAATAAAAGGTATTCAAACTGGTAAAGAAGAAGTCAAACTCTCTCTTTTCACAGATGACATGCTACTTTATGTGGAAAACCCAAAAGACTCCACCCCCAAATTACTAGAACTCATACAGCAATTCAGTAATGTGGCAGGATACAAAATCAATGCACAGAAATCAGTTACTTTCTTATATACTAACA